TCAGGTATCAGGAATCAAAGACTCAGAACCAAAACTCATCAATGTGAATGAGGGGGAGTACAGAGTGGAGACCCAAAGTCCATCTGTAGGTAATGGGACACCCACTTACAGAAGGGCCACAAGGAGGAGATGAGCCAGTCTGGATGCAGTATAGCACCAATGAAACACACAATTTTTCCTCTAGTTCTTTAATGCTTCCTCCCGCCACTATCATGACCCCCAATTCTACCTTACACAAATCCAGCTAGACCAGAGCATGTACACAAGGCTGTAAATCTTTATAGTAGCAGAAAGCCTTATCTTTCTGCTGGAGGACTGGTGGGTTCAAACTGCTCACCTGTTGGTTGGCAATCCAACGCATACGCCACTACACCACCAGAGCAACTTAGTCACTGTTGCACTAAAAGAATGCTTGCTCTCTCACTTGGCTTAATGGCCATGGAATTGCAGGCAATTGAAGCAGTCTTACAGAATATATCCCTACATAAAGTCCCTGTCACCTAAAAACAATTTTCACTATCCATTATTAAAATACAATAACATCAATCAAACTAATGGCCAGGAAAAAAAGGGAGAGGGAGGGAGAGAGATTGCTTAATAACTACCTGTAGTTCTTGCTTCTCCCTTAGTGCTCTGAAATCAAAGCATTCTGAACACAATCTATTTATTTATTTTTGCTCCGTGTAGTGTACTGTCTGTTTTAGCATCAGGATTCAGTTTTTCAAAACTTGTGCAGCATCTTTTACAGTGTTCTTCTGAAAGTCTACAAAGACAGCCTACAGCTTCAGAAGGTAAGACAGTAGAAAGCATTTCCTGGTTCTAGATGTTTGACTTACTAAGCTTTAGATGATAAAACTTTCTGGTAGAAAAAATTCCAATAAGGTATAGACCTTACACAATAGAACTGATTTGCTCAAAACTTGGTTTCATGTAGATTACAAATTGGCTGTACTAACTCCAAAATCCTTTCGCATCATATTGTCAGATGGATATGCGCTTATAGTTCATGTCAAGAATTAAACACTTAAAACCCAACTGTGGCTATGCTAAGTCCCCATATCTGTTCATTTCAATGGTTTCTTGAATTCATTTGTGAGAGAGAAAAAAATAAATCACTGGATGTGTATTGTTCTAAGTTAATAGCCTTTTCTACATTTCATATGGCAACAATTTACAGACCTTGATAAACGAGTGTCCATTCATTCTAAACAATACTTTAAGGGAGTCATCTTAGTTTTGAGCCTCATTATAAAAAAGAACATAAAATAGTAGAAATTATCATTAAGGCCTGATAGTTAAGCCTTCTAGAAAATTGATAAATAAGTGTATTGTTTGGATTTTGAATTTTTCATTGCTGTTCTACTGAACGTTATTATACAGCAAGTCATCAACTCAGAAAGTACAGAGTCAAACATAATTATTCTAACTGCCATTATTTTCTTGTGCCTTGATTCCCAATTCAGCCTCATTTCTTTTTGCTCGCCATACTCAATAATTACATACTAATTATAAGAAATTAAAGTCATCCAAAGGTTAAAGATGCATAGATCAAATGATATATTCAGAATATATTTTACCATTGACATATCCGCGGCTGCAATAGAAGTTGTGCTAGTGCAGTCTCAGCGATTCTAAAACTCTTCTCTTGTTTCCAAGACAGTTTGGGGGAGGAAAATCACCCCGCATTAGCTTCATGGAGGGTAGAAATAGAATCTGGTGTATACTAGGTAAAACACAGAATCGCATAATAGATACTTTTGGCTCTCCTGTGGCTTATAACTCTCAATGGGCCGCATAACCCCTGGAGAGGTCACAAGTAAAGATATAAAGAAAACTCCTTTATCTCCACATTTCTGGCCTTTCTTTTCTACAAAATAAAATGCTGAAGCTTCTATCCAAATTATCTGAATTGACATGTGTTAACTTTGTTTCAACTTCTAATCTCACATCTACTTCTTTGATCGTCTCTTTTACAGCTCATCCCTCATCTTTGACCATTGCCCAAGTGGAAATTATGAAGGTCTCCCCTTGGACCCTAAACTCAGCCACTTATTACGTCTTTTTCACTGCTTAACTTTCCCCTTTTCCCTCAGACGACATATTCTGTGTCTTATTAAGTCTTTTTTAAAATTCATCTCAAAAATCTTAAATAACTCTGTCTCCAGCATTCCACATCTACTGCGATGGAAGCACGTTAAGGAGACTGGTGTCCTCCTGGCTTACGACTTGGCCTGCTCACCACAAGGTCAGCAGTGCAAAACCAGCAGCTCCTTCCTGGAGAAAGATGAGGCTTTCTACTCCTGTCGAGAAATGACCTTGGACACATCAAGGAGAAGTGCATTCGAGTCTCATGAGTCCGAATGGACTCAATGCCAATGTGTTTGAGGGAGTGATGGATCTTAGAACGAGAGTTTATTGCAGACAAGACAAGTTTGGGACCAATTTCCATTCTGATCTTTCTTGTCGGGTAACTGTGCACAAACTATCTGAGTTTAACATTTATTAGTCAACTATCTAATTTAACAATTAGGATGGCATTCGCTTTAGAGACAGTTATCTACAATGACTGGAATATATAAGAGCTATGGTGACAACCATTATTACTTTTGGGCCAATTTTAGCCCCTGCTATCTTTTGAAGAGGGCCTGGTGATATGGTGGTTACAGAGCTTGGCTGCTAACCAAAAGGTCAGAGGTTTGAACCTCCTACCAGCTTCATGGGACAGAGATGTGGCTGCCTGGTTCCATACAGATGACAGCCCTGGCATCCCATTCGGCAGTTTTCCTGTGTCTGAGAGGGTAGCTTTCAGTCCAAAGGGACTTGGTGGCAATGTGGTTTGTTTTCCTTAAAATGTCCTACTACCTGGTACAAAGTAGGCCCTCAGCAAACACTGGTGAAAGAATAAATTATAGTCAGATGTGTCAATTTCAATGAGGCACTCAAATCAGTTCCATATTAGCCTAAACCGTCCCCTAAGTGATTTCCCATCAAGGTACCTGTTGGGTTGTTCTTCAAAATAAACAGAAACGGACGATTTGCTACAAATTGATTCTGAGCCAGACTCATGATTGCAGGGACATGGATGCCTACGAAAAAGAGACGATAGTTATTTAGATGTTTACATTTATGTATCAATAAGGAAAAAAAAATGCAACCAAGGTATCTTATGCAGGAAGGAAAGCTTATGTTTTTGAGGAGTTAACATGTGTAAAAATAACTGCTTTCTAACTAAAGTGATTTTGGAATAAATTTTAAAACTGAGGAGAATAATAAATATCATTTCATTCATGGAATAATTCTAATTTCACTTTTATGCTCAATGAAGAAGAAAGCTAGATATTACATCCAGTTTAGTGGAAGCAGCTGAAAATTCTCATCCTTTAAATACTAATTTTCTGCTCCCTTTTTATTTACATTAAATAATTTATCCTTCCAAAGCTTTCAACTTTTAATTCCTATACAAATATGGTTGCACGTATTACTATTTTTCAGTCTATGGTAATCATACTTCAGTTCAAATTCATTTTTTAACTCGCATTTCCAAAATTGTTTTTCTGATCTCAGAGCTTATAGGATTTGGTTTGTGAATGAGCACAGGATTTTTATTATGAGATAAGGAGCATAAATTTTCTGACTCAAAAATTATTGCAATGATAATTTTTCTCTCGTGCTGTTGTGGCACTACCCAATATTTAGAGGTGAAAAATTCAAATTGTTGAGTTTTTCTCTTTCTCGGTTTAATATCTCAACTCAGTTAAGATGTTTTCTTCAGGAACAGTGCAATGGTTTTTTACAATGATTGTCAGGCTTGTGGAAAGATACTAACAGTGTAATTTGTACGATAACTGTGTTGTGGTGAAGTGCCCTGGAGTCAGCTCTGACTCAGAGCAACCCAACCATAGGACAGGGCAAAGCAATGCCCACCTGCACCAATCTCACCATTGTTATGTTCGAGCCCAAGGGTGCAACCACTGACCCTCAACTTGTCCAAACACGATGTCCTTCCTCAGGGACAAGTGTCTCCTGACAACATGTCCAAAATCCACGCGATGAAGTCTCATCATCCTTCCTGCTGAAGCCCGTTGCGATGCATTACTTCTAAGACCAATGTGTTCATTCTTACAGCAGACCCACACCCTGGTTCAAATGCAGGAGTTTGTCTTTGGTCTGCCTTATTCGGTGTCCAATTTTCACATGCTTATGAGGTCATGGAAGATACCATGGCTTGGGTTAAGTGCACCGCAAAGCAACATCCTTGTCTTTCAACACTTTGAAGCGGTCGTGGGTCGCAGATAGACCTAATGCCACAGGTACATGTGATCTCTTGACTGCTGCCTCCGGGATCATTGATGGTGGAGCCAAGCGAGCCAAGCTTCTTGACAACTTCAACCTTTTCTCCTCCGTTTATCATGGCATCACCCACTGGTCCGCTTGTGAGGATGTGGGTTTCCTTTACAGAGAGTTGTAATCCTTACTGAAGGCTGTAGGCCTTGATCTTCATCAGCAGGTCCTGAGAGTTCTTCTCACTTTCAGGAAGCAGGTTGTGTCCTCCGCATATCAAAGGTTCTTAATAAACCTTTCTCCAATCCTGATGCCATAAATGCAGACTCTCTGATTACTTGCTCAACACAGAGATGGAATAAATATGGTGAGAGGATACAATTCTGACACACACACATTATTTGACTTCATCTATTTGCTTTAGCTACTCTAAGATTAAGTTTCAGAATTTCTTCTGACATTTACTTTGTTTTTTTTTCATCCCTTTCTTTTGAAGGGTCATTTGTTTTCTTCATGAATGATGTTCTTGATAAGCTCCTGCAACTTATCAGGTCTTCTGTCATGAGTGTTCAATACAGCAATTCTATTTTTGAGATGTTCTCAAATTCAGGTGGTAGGTCATATTTTGGCTCTAGTGGACTTGTTTTCATTTTTTACAATTTCAACTTGACTTCATTTTCTGAAACTTACGATCTGCTCCACAGGCAGGTCTGTCCTGGTTTTAGCTGATGATGCTGAGCTTCCCCAGTGTCTCTTCCCAGACGTAGTCAATTTCATTTCTGTGTTTTCCATCTAGAGAAGTTTAGGAGTTGTTGAAAATAAAGGTATTTGTGATGAAGAAGTCATTGGTTTTGCAAAATTCTATCCTGTGCTCTCCGGCTTTATTTTGATCACCAACACCATATTTTCCAATTACTTTCCTTCCTTTTTATTTCCAACATTTGCATCCCAATCCCCAATACTTATCAATGCATCTTGATGGCATGTTTGATCAATTTCAGACTGAAGATGTTGATAGGAATCTTGAATGTGTGCATCACTAACTTCAGTATCTTCTGCATAAATTTGAATAATTGCTGTATTAAATGGATTTCCTTGTATTTTAGTAAATATTTGCCGATCATAGACAGCTTTGCACTTCTAGGTACTTTTTGACAATGAATATAACACCATTCCTCTTGAGTGTGTCATTCCCAAAATAGTAAAACCTATGATTTTTCGGTCCAGTTCAGCTCACTAAAGCCTAGATTATCAATCGCTATGTGCTCATGTCATTTTGATGACTTTCAGTTTTCCTCAGTTCATACTGTGTACATTCCAAGTTCCAATTATTAATTGATATTCGCAGCTGCTGCTTCTCGATTTGTGTCACCCCTATCAGAAAATGAAGGTTTACTCCTGCAGGCTTACGACAGCTTGCCATCATCGTCAACTCTGCTTTGAGAAGGCACCTCTTCCTCAGTCATATACTTCTATGTTCTGTTTCCATTCATGAGGCGTGCAATAACTGACAATGTTCCATGGATGTCCCTGGGGTTTGCAGTGGTTAATTTCTCAGAAGTGGACTGCCTCTTCCTTGTGCATAGGCTGTCTGTTCTTAGCCTGGAAACTCTGCTGAGACTGGCTTACTTCAGGTGACCTGCTGGTATTTGAAACACTGGTGACATAGCTTCCAGTGTCACAGCAACACACAAGCCAATGCAGCACGACAAACTGAGAAACAAGTGACGGAGAAAGGGTCACACATACACTTGATAGTGTAATACGCATGGCACCCTCCTATCTAGAATATCAGAGTCATGCTACTGAAAATGCTAGGGAGGGTAGGCTTGTATCTCAACTTTGGTTATTCAAAAAACAAAATATCTTATGTATTAAACCAAGCCTCTTATTTTTATTTGCAGTGATCACTTGTGGTTTTGGTAGTTCCTGATTAGCCTGAAGGCCTGAGCAGGATATATGTCTGTGAGCATATATGCCTGGAAGTCAAAATCTACAATTCTAAAGTTTAGGTTGGTCCCTTCGTGATGACAGTGTGTACCTGGAGAACTCTAGACTAGTGAGGAGAAGCAACAGACTATCGTGAAGAGAGCCTTTAACGTTGAAGTCAAGGGGCCCCTCTACATTAGTGGACTTGTTTCTTCACAAATAAAATGAATGGATCAGATTCTGATCTATAAGGACTCCTACAGTTCTGTGTAAGACCAGCTGAAAAAAGAACATGGCAGCCTAGGCCAGCAACCTCCAACAGGTGCCAAGTTTGGATTTCCTGAAGGATGAAATTACCCATTCCCTCCTATCAAGTTTCCCTGAACCACAGGACATGACGAAGTAACAGCTGGACTCCAGTGTATCCGTAGCAGAAGTCCAGCCTCGGTGGCACGATGTAGCTTTGCAAAGTAATCGAGACATTGCTAATGTAGATATGCACTTACAGACATTTATCAATAAAACATTTTTAAAGGATACAAGTCCTTTAAATACTGGTTAAATCCAATTAGGATGAAGCATTAAAATACATTAATGAGGGGTTTATTAAAGCTACCTTTCTACTTCCAGTTGATTTTAAGGATTTGCTCCAATTAGACTATAAAGAGATACTTTTTTTAAAATGTCATTTGGCCAAGGAAATGTCCTATCAGGGAGAGGTTCACAAACTGAACTATGTATACAAATCTCCAAGGGATCTTGGGAAATGCAGCCACTGATTTAGTAGAACTGCAGTTGGCCTTGAGATTCTGCATTTCTAAAAAGTTCCAAGGTTGCTGATGTCACTGGCTCATGCAATTGAGAAAGTTGCAAGCCACTTAGCATAGTGGTTCTCAACCTCGGATGCCCATTGGAATCACGGGGAAGGAACCTTAAGTGAACACTAACACGTCAAACCCCGAGATCCTGATTTAGTCATTTGGGGTGTCTTCCGGGCACAGAGTGATTTTAACATGTGGTTAAGTCTGAGGAGCATCAACATGGAGATGCTAGCAAGAATGAAATCAGAAAAGTGAGGATTCATTTGGTTTAATGGAACACCAAAGATAATTCAATTACTTCAGAGTAAACATCCCTAAACCATCACGACTCAGCATGGGCCCCCTAAAGTTTTTCCACATTGGCTGATGTCCCATCTACTAATTGACAGATAATCCTAGTTGCAAAGATAATAGGTAGGCCTCCACACCTAATCAAGTCCCTTCCCTTCTGATTTGCATCCCATGGTGACTGCAGAGATGAATGCCCAGCTTATGGGACAGTTTCTTTTTTCCTACTGCTGGAAGTCAGACAGGAAAAGGAAAAGAGAGTATGGCTAAACACCCTAATGCTCATTCTGCCTCCCTTCCACCTCCCCAAATCTTTTCTCCCAGGTTGTTAGGATATTGTTTGTCCTACCAGTTGATGTCGCAACTTCACTGCCATCTTCGTTTATCTCAAAGGACACTTTTTGCATGATTTGGGAAACATACACCTCAGCTGAATCTGGTGAAAAATATGAAAGCATATTCAAGGATCAAAATGAGAAACCATTACCTAGAAATCACAGATGGATTACATTTCTAAATTTTAAAAAATTGACTGACTCTCTAAGTCAGTCAATGTACTAAAGATAAGGTCGTCTAAACATTGATCTCAAAGAGAGGATGCAGGTTTAACTCTAGTAGGAAAGATAAAGAATTGAAGGATATAAGCCTCAAATCAGGAATCCCACTAAGGAAAATGTTTGAATGTATAGAGAGGGTTTTTCCTCCCTGAGCCTTGGTCGACCAACAGGATGTTAACTGCTTTGTAGATCTGAATGAATTCCACCCTGTGTGCTCAATCACAAAGCCAACTTGCCTTTTAAATTCTGTATATGGTTTTGATCTGAGTTTAAAACAAAATTTACTTTCTTTCAAGAAGGTGAGCCTATGAAGGTCTAAAGAGGTTTCTTGTCCTCAGTACAAAGTCACTTCAAAGCCATGCTTTAGAACCTGCTAAAAATCCCAGTGTAAGAGAGTTGTCTTACAAGCTTTTGTCCTGCGGTGCATTCAAGCTGAGAAAGGACGTTGCTCTCCTCCCTGTGGCAGAATTGATAAGTGCACAGAGTGAGTCTGACAGAGGGACCTGCAAACAAAGCCTCCTGGAGATGGGGGAAATGAAACCGTGAGTTCAGAACCTGCGGACCACCCCTCCTGTGATAAGAGCAGAGCAGAGAGCTCTGACATTGTTCTTGAGTTCAGTGGTGGTAGGAGAGGGAAGGAGAGGAAGATGGATCTTGAATCTTGGAGAGCAAGGAGCACTTGAGAGAGAGAACGTGTGATCCAGGCAGACCTGCATTTCAAAGTATCCATGCAGAGGAACCAGCTCTGACCATCTACTGAAAAATAAACTCCTTTCAGGTAAGGTAGAGGGGAGAACTGAAATGTTCTCCTTCCATGAAGACCCACAGCTTCAGAAACCCAAAGAGCCAATTCTGCTCTGTCCTGGAGGGTGACTATGATTCAGAAGGTCTGAGAGTAGTGAGTTTGGACTTTGGGATGAATCAGAATTGACTAGATGGCAGTGGGTTTATATTTCAGGAGGTGACAGCAACATATCCCAGCTGCTTTGGTGGGTAAACCTGAAAGAGTGTTTGTACGTCACCTCATCTGGAACCTAACACCTTGTGAATGAATGCTCAGTTCTCCCCTCTACCTTTCTTGACAGGAATGTATTTTTCAGTGGATGGTCAGAGCTACTAGTGCCTTCAGGTCATCCCTGATTCATAGCCATTCACTGCCCTCGCTGACTCACAGTGACCTTACAGGACCGGGTAGAACTGCTTCGTGGGTTTCTGAGACTGTAAGTCTTTACAGAAGTAGGAAGCTTCATCTTTCTCCCACCGAGGGCTAGTGGTTTCGAACTGCTAACGTTGTGGTTCCCAGTGCCCCAGGGCTCCTTTCCTTACACAGAGGACCCTGTGCATCACAAAACAAGGCCTTGCTCAATTGTGTGTCATCCTCACAACATGGTATATTAACCACCTAACACATGAGAACATTTAGGCTCAGAAAGTTTTAAAACTTTACTCAAGGTGAAACAAGAAGTAGCAACAGTTTGAATTACCATGTTCATCTCAGAGGCCTAAAGTAACTCTATGAACAGCTTATTCTAAGATTGTAAATGTCCTAACGATGAGGTACTGTGTCTTTCATGTAAATATACCAGAAAAGTAATGCTGATTCGTTCACAGTGGCCTGGAGTGAATGTTTGATGCACAAAATGATAAGCATGTTCCTAACAGTCTGATTTAGCATAAACTTTGTCTGTAGTAATAAGAACTGGGCAATAAGATAAAACAAAAGAACTCACAGTGGGCATTTGAAGGAAAGACCAGAAAATGTTGGATATTTATTATTCTCTGCATATAGTTTTTTCCTTGCAAAAATTAACTTATGATGCATTTTGGAGAGTTCCGAAAAGTTACAGATTTGCCTGGGATTTGCAGAGTGGTTGGCTGTTTGAATGTGGCTAGCATGCTTCGTATGACTTGAAAGAAGTGTAAAACAAAAAGGTGTTTGGGAAATGATTTGGTTTGTTTCAGGTTGGTGAATGGATCGCATTCCAGGGTACACTCAGAAAGGGTCATGCAGTGGTATTTAATGTTGATGGTCTGGGGCCTGATGGTGATGAAACTGACACAAGGGTCATAATGTATCTGTTAGTATGAGAGAAAGTATCAAAGTCATGTGTGAAGGTGATAATCAACACCTGCGACACTTGTGCACCCCATTGACAACCTCCTCCTCTGAGAAAGCTAATTTATTCCATTCACTTACCCATGAGTGAATACATTAATGAACACCTACCTCCCCAAACTCCAAAATTATTACCTCGATATAACAAAAACATTTCCACTATACTTCCATATTGTGATGCAACATCTCACCAGACAGACAAGTTCTTTTATCCATCAGAAGACTGACTGACTATAAAAGCACTTAAACACCTCAGGGCAAGTTGGCCCTCCATAGACACTTTTTTCTGAGTTACCTATTTCTGAACTAGTGGGTACTGTCAAGACAAGAAAAATTAGGTCTTCTATGGCTTTGTTGAGCAAGTGAGGATCTTTAATCATATTCAATTCCTCTGGTACAAGCAGAGATGCATCTATGAAATTAGCACCTATGATAATTCATTTTAAGTTACGGAATGATCTCTCACAGCTGGCAATGGAAATGCAGTGGCTGATAGATACTGCTCATTAGTGGCCCCCCCGGAGCTCAGGGCAGATTCCATAGCTGTCGTACCCTAGATAGGCCTTTTTGTGCGAGTTAGCCGAGGAACTCCATCTTCCCGGGATTGTTGCCAGCTCTGACTCTGTTGCAAATCAGCAATCTATAGCATTGCAATTTCTTGATCACGCTTACCATCCAGCAATGTATAGATGCCTGCATGAAGGGTTTTAATATTACTGTTAACATTTTCAAATTGGTCTGGCAGAGTTCTATTAGCCTTGTTAGATGAGAGCCTCGGAGTTGTAATGTCCATTATTCAGATAAAGAAATCCAAGCAGGGCCCATAGAAAAGCCCACATCAAGGTTTTACCTACATGGTTTCATTACAAGTGTGGGTAGAAGGCTTCTCTAATATCTAGAATGCTTTTTGACTTTCATTAAGGAAAGCGACTTACATGCAAAGAGAGTGCTTGCTTCCAGGCAGCTCGACATGACTCTGGCATTTAGGCACCGTGTGTCCAATGTGTGTGGCTGAATATTTTCAGCCTCCAGACCAGACAGTTACTATCATCAACTCAGAAATCATATTAACAGGATAACACGAGAAAATTACCTGTGATTCCAGAGAGGTCACAGCCACCACTAAATATCTCAGTTATATTCAGAGAATACAACGCTTCTTTGAAGTCTAACTTTTGTTCTATTTTAAATCTGTTTATAAAAAGACAAAGAAGGAAGGCATTAAAAACTGTCATGTGTTTACTAGCAAAACGCTTTTTATAAAATGACTTGGAAGAGATCATATTCAGAAATCTTTTCTTTCATTATCACCATTACATTTTCTCACATTTCACACCATTTTCCCCCAGAATCACAGGGCTGTTAATGACTTGTTCCCCAGATAAATGGTTGGTGGGAGGGGAGGAGAGAATGCCTCTGTTTGAAGTAACATTTACCCAACAAAACAGTGTCAGTTCGAGCTTAAGTTTTCAATTGCTTGGTTCCTTCCTAAGAAATTGAGACAATCACTTCAGCAACTTTATATATTCAAGTTCCTCACACCATCAAACATGTCTAATGGCAGATGTCCAAAATACTGCACAGTGGGTGGGAACAAGGAACCTTGGAAAAGATCGTTGACTACTGGGGTAGAGACAGGCACCAATACCCTTAGTCCATCTCATCCATTGCACTTGGATTGTTACAGGCGGTGTGTCTTTCTTCAGTTTATGGATACACCCAACATCTTCCCATAAAAGAAGAAAAGACAGTGGGAGGGGGTTGTTTGTGGGGAGCGGGGGTGGGTTTGGGGGTGGACTTGAATCAGGTTCGTGCTTTCAGTCTATAAGTTAGGACGTCAGCAATCCGCCAAACTGTGTGGCCTCAAGAGACCTCACCTATGAATGGGGAATTTGGCCAGAGTCTCAAAGGTATTCTCAAATTCACTGCTACCACTGAAGTCCATTTTCCCACTTAAATCAAAAGAAGCAGCAGCGAATATCACTGAGCTGGCTTTATAGGTTCTTAAAGCATCCGTTTTCATTTTGAGACCTGGTTGGAAACTTTCTTAGGAAAGAAAAGCTCTTTGCAAGGTGGTCATCTGGATTTCCCGCCTCGGCCCACCCTGGGACTAGAAATTAGTTTGGGCAATCAATATAATTAGATTATTGTTTTAATCACCAAATAACAAGCTTCTTAATTCTAATTCTTCAAAATGTGAAGAACTTTGGCAGACTTTTACTGGCCCTACATTATTTCTTAGAAAACTGTTTTGTCGTTTGGGAAGATGCTAACAGTCAGTCCTCGCCAAATGGGAAACGCACAGGAAAAGCTCCTGATGATGAAGACAGCTTATTCACGCCGACCGTTTTCCACTTGCTCCCTACTAACTTCCTGCCAAAAAAAGAGAAGCCGCACCAAAGTGCTTCCGAGGGTTCTGTGTTGTTGAACTGCTTTGCTGTCCTTTCAGCGGAAGGGAGCGCATAGCTCTAAAGGAAAAGGGGAAACGTTCCCCTCTCGTCCTCCCAGAAGCTTGCTATTGCTCGTATAGTAGACCAATAACTAGGAATAATGACAAGAACACTGCACTACTTCTCTGCTAAAACTTCTAATCAGGCCTCGTGATCCCCTGAGTCATTTCATTCCCCACTGACGCCAAGGAAACCTAGAGAAATAGAAACCCATTTAGCATTTAGTACAAGCATAATCTACAGGCAATTTCTAATCATCTATAATTATTGGGATCGTGAACAGCCAGGTTTAAATGATCACTTTTATTTGTTAGACTTAATATAGATTTTGGCTACGGATTTTCACAAATCTGCACTAGAAGTTGGCATTATTGCCTATCCGCATATATAAATGAGAAAACAGAGACTTTAGAAGTTTAATTTCCATACTACTCGTGGTCAAGGTAGATACCAAAGCTAATATTTAAACTGTATTAGAGTCTGAATTTCTGAGCACTGAGTTTTCAGAAGGCTAGAGTTTACAGTGGAAGCCCCAATCTATATATGAGTCTCCATTAAAATTCAGTCCATTGAATTCCTTCTGACCATTAACAGGCAGCATGAATTGCTTTGCCATCTAGCCGAGAGCTTTCAGAGACAGTGGATTGATATCATTCCCCAAGCGGGCCTGGGGAGAAGTTGATAGTGTTTGGGGACTCACCTGTCTGTGCCTTAATGGAAATTGGTCAGAGGGCCCTAAACCAATCTTCTAAACTCTTCTGTCCAACATAATGTATATGTCCTAAATCATGTCCTGTGTCCACATCCATAGTCCTACCTGTAACTGTGATGTATTGATCGGCCACCTATAATGCCTTTGTGACAATTTCCCTTTGTCCTCCCATGTCCTTTATTTAAGTCTCTGCATCTTGGCGAACCTTCGGATGCCATTAGGACCTGGTGTTCAAATCTGCCTCATACAAATAATGTGTTTTTATCTTTGTCTTATCTTTTCCTGTTTAGGACTTAATAAATATTCTCCTTAAAGTATATTTGAAATTTGGTGTCTCTTTTGTACCCTAAAGGAGTCCTGGTGGTGTAGTGGGCACACATGGGTCTTCTAACCACATAGTTAGCCGTTTGAAACCACCAACTACTCCACGGGAGAAAGACGAGGCTTTCTACTCTAGCATTTATAGTCTCAGAACACCACAGGGGCAGTTCTGTCCACTTCCTGTAGGGCCCCCTGTTCTGTCCTGTTGCTATTGAGTCACCGTGAGTCAGAATTAACTCCGCAGCAGTGAGTTTGGGTATTGCAAGTTGTTGTAAACAGCTTTCATTGTAAACAAAGTGAAACCCAGGATCATGTGTAGTTAAGCTTATGTGCTAACCCTTGCCTCCCATTCAAATGTAATGTAAAAATATGCTCTCAATCAATGTGCAGAATGAATTACAAATTTTGTCAGTGTTAGGATTTGTCATAATTGAGGTTCATTTCCCCCTTTCCTTAATATCCTTTAAAATTATATTCTTTTAAAAAATCAGCCAAAAGTGAAATGATGAGTAGCAAGAATACTAGGTAGATATTTAGCCATAAAATATTCAAAATTAAATGCCTTAGCATATGCAAACTAA